ATTTATTATTACTAAATTATCAATTTGATAAATATGATACATTTATTAATCATGTCTTTACTGGCATTTAATTTTTTTATTAGACACTCTGCATTTTTATTGCACATGTACAATGTTAGACAGGGAACATATCAACCACACTGCCATAAAAAAGCAAGATTTGAAATTTAATGGACTATAACAAAAATATAAAACAGGACAGCACTAAAATAGTAAATATTTTGAAAATGAGGGGCATATGTTTCCCATCTTTCTACTTTTCTTTGAAGTACTGTATTTGTAAGCAAATATATGCAGTAGTAAAAGGAGGGTTTGCATTTCTTCTATTTGTATGCGTAAATGTGATATTTACCCACCAAAACGACCATGTTCCCTATAGCAAAAAGGAAATTCAATATATTATCAAAAAATAGGGTATTTTCTAAAACTAAGGGATAAATATTATTATTTTTCACTGAAAGCTAATTGAAAACATTCAAGCATATTGCAGCAGTAAAAAGGGTATTCAAGAGTTCCAGGAAAGGGAGAACAAACTAAAATCTCTTCTGTAAAAATGCCCCCTGTGGATTTATTCTGAACAGGATTTTTTTTTTATCAAGTCTTTTTAAAATTGGATGAGCAGGGTATATCATATCTCAACATCACCAAAGCTGTAGCAATGAAAATCACCAACATGCCTAAAACTCTGTAAAATAATGTTATTACACTTATTGTCAAATCATCTACTGTAAAAAATTCTTCACTGTCTTTTTTAAACAATTTAATGATAATTTCTTAAAAAATAAAAAAAAACGTAATGTACCCAAACATTTGAATAGTATTGTAAATATAATAATAGTCCTTATTATAAACTCAAAATGATAATCAACTTCAATATTCAGTGAAGATAATTAGACTACATTTTATTTGATGTAGTCATGCCGTATGACATTCTACAAATTAAGATGTCGTTTCCATCTGATCGTGACTCCACTGATTTAAAAAACATTTGCGAACTGGGCTGTTACTGTACGGCTGTCTGACACCTGTGTGCGTATTTTCCTGGAGCCTGACTTTGCAAACAGGTGCTTAATCACTGAATAGGTTTATGAGGAAGAGCACAATACAGCTGACAAGCCGAGGCTGGTATAATGGCTTATCTGCTCCAATCGCCTTCATTGCTGTAACAGTGGGGCACCATGTTTCCACAGATCACAGGTTTATCACCACCATCAGCTACTGGTATCGCTCTCTGGCTACTGTTGATCTTTACAAGAAAGGGGAGCTAAGATTGGCTCTTGATTGATAAATAACAGAGTGGTGTAACAGGTTTCGGTTTGAGATCTTAAATCAAGTATAGCAGCAGAATAGTGGGAGTTAAACACCTTTCTGTTTTCCCTGCTCCATTTAAATGAGTGAAGTATAAATAAATAAGTAAGTAAATAAATAAATGTCATTGATTACTCACCCACATGTCGTTCCAAATTACACTTCTTTTCCTCCCCTGAATGCAAAAGGAGAAATTTTGATGAAGGCATTGGTTGATCTTTTCCATGTAATTACAATAAATGGAGACTAAAGCATTCAAGCATTACGTAGGACCCAAAACACCCGTAATGCATTATAAAAGTAGTCTGTGACTATTCAACGTTTTATGAAATATAAAGCCGTTAAATGATTTGTGAATCTTTGTGAAAATGATTTATTCACAAATCAGACTGATTTGATTCTCAGGTTCAGCTCAATGGAGCAGAACATTATAGTTTTATACATTATAATTTTTTAGTGTTTTTGCATGCATAAAAAATACATGAGGGTAAGTAATGAATAACTATACTGAATTATAATTACATGAATTTAAAATTTTCAATGAACTATTCCTTTCAGGTTTATGAAAGTCACATATAACAAAAGTGTAATGATCATTAATATTTGAACAATGAATATGGCCTTTGGTTTCACTCTGATGTTGTCCCTCTGAACATGTGCATTGAGGCATATGTTGTACATCAGCACGAGCATGCCTTCAAATGATTGCTCTATCATTGTCCGTGAAAAAAAGAGAGCTGGAGAAAAAGAAAGAATGACCAAAAAAGTGCTGACAGAATAAGCAATGAGGTAATTCTCTGCAACAGGATACGAACTCAATATGGAAAAGAGCTCTTTTAGCCACAGTATAGAGCAAATCAGTAAGATCTAGCCATCCCTATCTGCCTGCTTTGAGATGACCTCACTATTATTCTCATTTCAGGAGATGTTCCCTTACTGAGGCCACCTGAGTGTAAGCTTAGAGTGATTTATCTGCAGAAGCTGCGCATCAGGTTTGTTTATGGAGTAAAACTTTCATTTTTGGGCATTTAAAACAAGCTACATCAACCCTCATGTTCCTCATGAACCTTTAACGTTTATAGTGGAAAATGGTTCTTTAGATTATAAAAATATTCTTCACACTAAAACAAATGGTTCTTTTAGGAACCTTAAATGGCTTTTCAATGGCATTGCTACTAAACCGCTCTTTTTGGGATCTTTATTTTCGGGGTCACGTTGACTCCAGCAAAAAACACATTGTAGAAAAATATAACAAAACAAATCAAACTAAATCACTGGTAGAAGTCTCTCTCTCTACAGTGTATACCAATAAGAGTGATTCATATGCATATTATATCATAAGTGTAGATATTAAACTATATTAAAATGGCCTTGGTGTCTCTACCCCAATAGATAATGGGAGTATTATGTTGACAGAAGACTTTAATAATAATAATTCCATATTTGCATAACACTTTTCTGGATGTTACCACTCAAATCGGAAGAAATCTCATTTACCATGACCAATGCAGCACAGCGGGGTGGAGATATGATGAGATAAAAGCTGTAAGAATTTTAAAATGTAATTTATTCCTGTGATGCAAAGCTGAATTTTCAGTATCATTACTCCAGTCTTCAGTGTCACATGATCCTTCAGAAATCATTTCAGAAATCTGATTTCCTGCTCAAGAAACATTTCTGATTATTATTAATATTGAAAGTAGTTGTGCTGCTGGAAACCTTAATACAATAATATTTTGTTGTTTGTTGTGTTTTCTTTTTTAAGAAATGAATACTTTTATTCAGCAAGGATGCATTCAATTGATCAAAAGTGACAACAAAAGGCATTTATAATGTTACAAAAGATTTTAATATATTCTGTTCTGTTCTTTTGAACTTTCAATTCAAAGAATTCTGAGAAATCATCGACATCTAATGATCAAATAAACAAGTCTGCCTTGTGTCTACAGCCAAATCACAACCAAGCTGATATTTGGAAAAACAGCACTCTTTCTTGCGTGATATTGCTTCAAAACATCTTTAAAAAAACCTTTCTTCATCTATACACATCAGGCTCTGCTGACATGCAGAACGTGTTTAATGATGCACTGGCTCATCCATAATATGGACGTCTTGATTTTGGAAAGCAAACATGCACTTTTACTTCAGCACTGAACTCTGTGAACTCTACAAGTAGCAGACGAGTGAATTGGAGATCGCATTATAGATCCATTAAAGCTTATTGCATACGAAGTATCACAGCAGCTTGTTCCGAAAAGTCATCTGAAACTTTGCACGCTGCCTCTGTGAACAATCATTTGTTAAAACTGGAGGATGAAAATGGTGATATTTGAGCAAACGAGCTAGAGAATAAAAAACGAGGGAAGTCACAGGGTTAAATGGATAATGATTCAGGCTGTTGAAAAAGGATTCGCTGAGATGTGGTTTCGCTTGTTTTGGAAGTTGTGCTGAGATCAGAGTTCTCCTCATGCAGGCAAGATGGAGAAGGCTTTCAAACAGGAGGAGAATAATATCTCAGACAGCCGCCAACGTCACATTCTGTTATTGAAACATAGACCTAGTACTTTCAAACCCTCAGGAATAAAAGAGCGTAAAAGCGGTGTTTGAGAGTGTAAGAGTTGGAGAGGTTTTTCTTTCCAAAGAAGATTTAGGTATGGCCCCGTACCCACATCAACACCTTAAACGCTTTGCAAGCCTGTCACGTACTCAGCCGGTGAGGGGAACGGAGGGCAATGGAGAAATTGTTTCCCATGGTTCATTTGCAACAAATAAAGCTCTTTTAAAAGGAAATTCCACCAATTTTTCAAAATGTCCTCAAAATGCTGGTGTGCAGACATAGACAAGGCCACTTTGTATAATTACAGGCACCTCACTAATCGCTGGTCATTCAACAACAGCTTTGAAAAAAAAGAGATAAAAAAAAAGAAATATAACATAAGATATGAAGGACACAGTCGCATTAACTGAGCTCCTTCAGTGGGGGGCCTATTTATTCTAAAGCAGAAAGATATCCATTTTTAGCAGGCAATAAGTAAAGCCAGCCCTGAAACCTTGGAATCACCTGCTGGCTTTACTGCATTTAAACACTTTATACATTTCAAGACAGCAGCCTGAAGGCTGGATAAAACAATTACACACATGTACATAGTATCTCAGACAGCCGCCAACGTCACATTCTGTTATTGAAACATACTTTCAAACCCTCAGGAATAAAAGAGCGTAAACGCGGTGTTTGAGAGTGTAAGAGTTGGAGAGGTTTTTCTTTCCAAAGAAGATTTCGTACCCCGTACCCCGTACCCACATCAACACCTTAAATGCTTTGCAAGCCTGTCACGTACTCAGCCGGTGAGGGGAACGGAGGGCAATGGAGAAATTGTTTCCCATGGTTCATTTGCAACAAATAAAGCTCTTTTAAAAGGAAATTCCACCAATTTTTCAAAATGTCCTCAAAATGCTGGTGTGCAGACATAGACAAGGCCACTTTGTATAATTACAGGCACCTCACTAATCGCTGGTCATTCAACAACAGCTTTGAAAAAAAAGAGATAAAAAAAAAGAAATATAACATAAGATATGAAGGACACAGTCGCATTAACTGAGCTCCTTCAGTGGGGGGCCTATTTATTCTAAAGCAGAAAGATATCCATTTTTAGCAGGCAATAAGTAAAGCCAGCCCTGAAACCTTGGAATCACCTGCTGGCTTTACTGCATTTAAACACTTTATACATTTCAAGACAGCAGCCTGAAGGCTGGATAAAACAATTACACACATGTACATCTTTCACCAGGGGAGGTGATAGTGTGCAGAGAATTATGGGTAATATATTTTGCATAATTCTTAATTCTCAATAACTTCCCTGCCCTCAATACATGGCTTTATACATCTGTATAATTGTATTTCTTGTTTTCCAGAATTAAAAAAAAAAAAAAAAAAATTAAA